TAATAATAAAGAAAAAGAAAATTCTCTACATTGACTTGCTCCATGAACCAAGATTGCTACATGAACCAAGATTGCTAGGAGTTTTGCTTCTGAACATTTTCAGAACAATTTTAGCCTTTCTGTGTCATATGGAGTTAAGTAATTCAAAGTGATAGTAATGGGATTATTCTAACAACTTTTTTTTTTTTTTAAGAGACAGGGTCTCACTGTGTTGCCCAGGCTGGTCTCAGATCCTGGCCTCAAGCAGTCCTCCTGCCTTGGTCTCCCAAAGTAGTGGGATTACAGGCATGAACCATCATACCCAGCCAAGGATGTGAATTTTAATGGGGTTTTCATACCCTAAAATGTCATCCTTCCTCAGGTATTTTAGGTGTGTACTCTCACATTGTCAGGAACATCCCAGAGGTGAGAAATTTGGGGTGCACAGACCTAAGAGAACAGGATGGGTTTTCAAAGTACATATGACCTGTTAGACAAGGAAACAAAAATATAAAAAAACATGGAAGTTCATAAATCTCTGAGGGAGAAGAGTCAGCAAGTCATCAAATGACTGACAGCCCCAGAATGTGAGCCTCAGAAGGGTAGGGTCTTACATCATGTACCCACTGCTGGGTCCTCTCCACTTAGAACAGTGCCTGGCACAGGGTGAGGCTGTTCACAGGGTACAAGGACAACTGAAAAGAGAATGGGAGTATGTGTTTAGCCGAATGGGAGTATGTGTTTTATGCATATCATGAACAGTCGATTTTGAGTGTGTTTCTTATTAATTTAAACAACTAGTGAAATAGCAGACTATGGCAGAAGGAAACTTGAAAATGTACATCATCCTATCCTTCATAGTGGCACACACCTGTAGTCCAGCTACTTGGGAGGCCGAGGCAAGAGGATTGCTTGAGGCCAGGATTCTGAGACCAGCCTGGGCAATATAGCAAGACCCTGTCTCAAAAAGAAAAGAATGTTTTCATCTTCCTAAGAAATGGTTGGTAAGACCATGGAAAAGTAGCTTTGATCCCAAAGTTGTAATACAAAGAATGCTTTGGCAACACTTACACATATGACTGGTTACATCTCATACATCTGTCTTGCCTGTGTGACCTCTGGCAAGCTATCCAACCTCTCTGTTTCCTTCTTTGTAAAATAGGAGTAATAGTGAAACCTACCTGATAGGTTTATTGTAAGGATCAAATCAGTTAATATGCATAAAGCATTTGAAGCAATGCCAAGCACTCAGTACACTCCATGTGTTCATTGTCGTTAGAAGTATGTTCTCCATATCTGAGGTAATCCTCAGGAATCCTCTTACCCCAGGTGGTAACCAGAAATTTAAAATTGAGATAAAAAACTTTTATGAAGCATATACTTGGGTTTTTTCATACAGCTTTAATAAGATTTAATTACCTTGTTATAAAATTCACCTTTTTTTCTCATCTCTTTTTTTTCTTCTGAGTCGGAGTTTCACTCTGTTACCCAGGCTGGAGTACAGTGGGCATGACCATGGCTCACCACAGCCTCAACCTCTTGGGCTCAGGAGGATCCTCTTGCCTCAACCTCTCAAGTAACTGGGACTACAGGTGCACACCACCATGCCCAGCTAACTTTTTTATATTTTTGTGGAGACAAGGTCTCACTTTGCTGCCCAGGCTGGTCTCGAACTCCTGGGCTCAAGTGATTCAACCTCATCTGCCTCCTAAAGTGCTGGGATTACAGGTGTGAGACGCCACACCCAACCAAATTCACCCTTTTTTGCAGTATACAATGCAATGGTTTTTAGTATATTCACAAAGTTAGAAACCATCACCACTATCAATTTAGACTATTTCATCACCCCAGAAAGAACTTCAGAACATTTCATCTTCCCCATACCCTTGACTACTTTCTCCCCTTTCTCTCCCCAGTTCCTGGCAACCATTCACCTGCTTCTCTTCATATACTGGTCTATTTTGACCATTTCACCTCAAGAGAATTACAAAGTATGTGGCCTTTCATATCTGCCTGCTTTAACTTAGCCTGATGTGCTTAAGGTTCACACATGTTATACACGGATCAGTACTTCATTCATTTTTTGGGCAAATAATAGTCCATCATAAGGATATTGTGTATCATTCATTGTATTTATTCACATTTTGTTAATCCACTCATTCCACAGTATTCAGAGTATGTAGATTGTTTCCATTTTCTTGGCTATTGTGAATAATGCTGCCATGAACATTCATAGAAAGCTGTGTGTGGATGTAGGTTTCCAGTTCCCCTAGGAATGTACCTAGGAGTGGAATTGCTGGATCATATGTTAATTCTGTTTAACATTTTGCAGAACTACCAAACTGTTTCTGAAAGTGGTTGTATTTTACAGTCTCACCAGCAGAGTATGAGGGCTCCAGTTTCCCCACCTCCTCACTGACATTGGTTAGCGACTGTCTTTTTTATTTTAGTCTTCCTATTGAGTATGAAGTGGTTGCCTCACTGTAGTTTTGATTTACATTTCCCTGATGTCTAATGATGTTAAATACCATCTCCTATGCCTCTTGTCCATTTGACTATCTTTGGAGAGATGTCTATTTAAATCCTTTGCCCATTTTTTTCATGGAGTTATGTGACTTTTTTTTTTATCATTGAATTGTAAGAGGTCTTTATATGTCTGCATATAAGTCTCTTACCATATATAGGATTTGGAAACATTTTCTTCTATTCTGTGGGTTGTCTTTTTCACTTTCTTGGTGTCTTTTGAAGTACATGAATTTGTAAATTTGATGTTTAGTTTATTTCTTTCTGTTGTGATTTGTGCTTTTGATGATGCAGCTAAGAAACTTCTGTCTAATCTGAGACCCAGAAAATCTACTCATACATTTTTTTCTTAAAGTGTTATAATTTTAGTTCCTACATTTATGCCGATGATCTATTTTGAGTTAATTTTGTGTATGGTGTGAGGTAGGGGCCTAAATTCATTGTTTTAAATGCAGATATCCAGTTTTGCTAACACTGTTTGTTAAAAAGACTATTCTTTCCTCACTAAAATTGTCTTGGCAATGTTGTCAAAATTCAGTTGACCATAAGGGTTTATTTCTAAACTCTCAATTCTGTTCCCTTGATCTACATCTCTATCCTTATGCCAGTGCCATACTGTCCTAATTACTACAGTTTTGCAGTAAATTTTGAAATTTGGAAATATGCATTTTCAACATTTTTTCTTCATTATTATTTTAACTATTCCAGGTTTCTTGCATTTCCATATGAATTTTAGGGTCAGCTTGTCAATTTTTGCAACAAAAAAAGAAAGAAAGAAAAAGGCAGCTAGGAATGTTATAGGGATCGCATTGACTCTGCATACCAATGGGGGGAGTATTGCCATCTTGACCATATTATGTTTGCTGATTCTTGAATGTAAGATGCGGGATGTCTATGGGAATCTTTATTTCTTTCAGTGATGATTTGTAGTTTTCACTGTCCAAGTCTTGTGCATCTTTTGTTAAATTTATTCCTGTTTTATAACTTTTGATGCTATTGTTAATAAAATTATTTTCTTAATTTTATTTTCAGATTGTACATTGCCATATGTTTGGAGGATATTTTTGTTTTCTATTTCATTGTGGCAAAATATGTATAACACAAAATTTACCATGCTAACAATTTTTAAATGTACAATTCACTGGCATTAAGTGTGTTCACAGGGTTGTGTAATCATTACCACTGTCTATTTCCAAACTTTTTTATCATTTCAAATAGAAAATTTCTACCCATTAAGTAGTAACTCCCCATCTCCCCATTTCCAGGCCCTGGTAAACCTCTACTCTACTTTCTGTCTCTGTGAATTTACCTACTCTAGGCACCTCATATAAGTGGAATCATCCAATGTCTGTCCTTTTATATCTGACTTGTTTTACTTAGAATATTTCCTGGGTTGTCTATGTGATAGCTTGGATAAACTGAATGCCATTCATGTTCTAGCATTCCTTTTTATGACTAGATAATGTTTCGTTTTATGTTTATACCACAATTCGTTTATTCATTCATCTGCTGGTAGATACTTGGGTTGCTTCTACCTCTGGGCTGTTGTGAGTAAAGTTGCTCTGAACACTGGTGTACAAGTATCTGTTTGGGTCGCTGCCTTAGGTTCTTTGGGATATAGACTTAGGAATGGAGTTGCTGGATCGTATGATAATTCCATGCTCGGCTTTTTGAGAAACTAACTACCAGACTGTTTTCCCAGCAGGTGAACCATTCAACATTCCTACCAGCAGTACACCTGGGTCTCCTTTCTCCACATTCTCACCAACACTCATTATTTTCCAATTTTTTTATGGGAGTCACCCTAATGGATGTGAATATTTGTTTTTATTTTATTTTATTTTATTTTATTTTTTGAGTCAAAGTCTCACTCTGTTGCCCAGGCTGGAGTGCAGTGGCATGCTCATGGCCACCACAGCCTCAACCTGCTGGGCTCAGGCGATCCTTCCACCTCAGCCTTCAAGTAGCTGGAACTACAGGCGTGCTCCACCACACCCAGCTATTTTTTCTTTATTGTAGAGATGAGATCTTGCCAAGATGCCCAGGCTAGCCTTGAACCCCTAGGCTCAGGCAATCCTCTCACCTCTGCCTCCCAAAACACTGGGATGACAGGCATGAACCACCATGCCTGTCCAAATAGTTGTTTTTGAATTAAGAATTAAACTGCATCTAACAATATTTTTAAAAGTAGAACACCTGATCCCTCAGACAGACATGTACAAAGTATATTTCATAAAAGATCAAGGAAAATTGTAAATGCATTTACTGTTAGCTTTGTTTCCTTATTATAATTATAATTTCCATAATTTGTTATAATTGAGGATAAATAATTAAATGCAAGGCTCAGCTTTTTAGAGGTGGAATATTTAAAACTTTTATATATATGCAATTTTAGAGTTTGGAAAATATAGCTCTTCCTATCTTTTCTATGATGTTTAAGATGACAGAAACCACTGGAAGAACTCTGCCCGACAAGGGTGAAGAGGTCTGTGGCTATTTCTTGAACCCTTCCTTAATGTCACCGGAATGTTCACCAACAACCTCAAAAAAGAAAACAGAGGACCTGAACGACCTTCCCTCTGCCAGTCAAAGGAGTGTGCCACTGGCTGTGGCCGAAGCTCTGGAGCACATCCTGGAGCAGCTCAATGTCCTCACACAGGTGAGTCAGTGCACCTTGCCCTGGCGGTAAGATGCACAGACAGTCCCAGTTACAGCAGGTGGCACAACTGGCAGAATGGGAGTTTTCTTTACTAGCGAGGCAAACCAGGTAGAGATCAGGATAGCCAGGCATGCTCGGCCGAACCACTCTAAGCACAGTCTTGTGGAGGTGAGCTCCCATCCTGTGCATACACACACACACACACACACACACACACACACACGGCCATTTGTAAAGAAATGATTTAGTACCATAAGAAAAATGTAACCACGTCTGGCTAGTATGAAAAATTGCCAATGTTTATAATTTTTCACTCTGAAAATATTCTCATTGTCTAGAATATGACTTATTTCATTGGAAAGCTTCCTGCACTGATGCAGTGTTCTTCCAGAAGTGATGGATTTCAATTCCCAGATTAGAATATTACCTAGTCCTTTTGAGGCCAGTTCCCCTTTGCAAAGAAGGAATACAGTGGCTCTTAAATAATGTAGCAGAATTCTTCCAGCTCATGATCTGGAGGCATAGTCATAATTTAAGGAAAGTGGTAAGCTGAATGGATACACCAAGGGTCTCTCTTCCAGCTCTGCTAACTCAGTGCCCTTTGAAGAAATCTTCTCTTGTTCATCTTTGATTGGTTGAGTGAGGATACTAGGATTTATCAGAGTAGACACTGTCACAATTATATAGAAAGAGAAGCTAAAATGTGAACTAGAGAGATGTCAATTGCTTGCCTCGAATAAATATTTAAAGTTGAAATAGCTCTTGCATAGAAATCACTCAGCTAGTTCTCAGCCTTGCCCATGCATAACAATCTTCGGGCAGCTCAAAATCATACATGGATCTAGTTCTTACCTCCAGGGAGTCCGTTTCCATAAGTTTCTGGCCTCAAGGAAAATTGTTTTATGCACCCCATAGGATTCTGTTTTGGGTTTGCTTTGGTTTTTTTTTTTTTTAAGTCAGATTCACACTCTGTCATCACCTGGGCTGCTGGTGTGCATGGCAGGATCACGACTCACTGCAGCCTCAACCTCACTGCAGCCAACTGCAAGATCACGACTCACCGCAGACTCACTGGACTCAAGCGATCCCTCCGCCTCAACTTCCTGAGTAGTTGGGACTACAGGCACATGCCACCATGCCCGGCTTTTTTTTATTGTTTGTAGAGCAAAGTCTTGCTATGTTGCCTAGGCTGGTCTCAAATTCCTGGGCTCAAGCACCCTTCCACTTCAGCCTACCAAAGTGCTTATGATTACAGGGATGGGCCACCACACCCAGCTAGGATTCTGTTTTATAGCTGGTGTTTAGAACCATCAATTAAATGAACATTTTTATCCTGTAGATGCTGTTTCGGGGCCTTTGGAGTTAAGAGGTGTGTGTGTAGTTTCACGTCCTGAGAGAGTATGGGAAAGAGCCACATGAGAACTCAGTCATCACAGGATTTGGTCAATGAAAATTGCATTAAAATCACTCATTCTCCTTTGGTCATAATGTGCTAGCAGTGACTTTCTCTGTGTTTAGCAGACACGTGTTTCCTGGACAGGCCATCATCCTCTCAACTTCTTGCTGCATTCAGTCTTAGTTGACTTGTTTCCACATGGCCGTGGCCCCCTCACCTGAACCATTATCTCTCATTGTTGGATCCCGTGAGGATCCCACCCAAGTGCATCTTTCCATCCCAGAATCTTTCTGCTTCATGATCAGTATCTTTCTCCTCCTCCTTACCTGATTCAAGGTTAAGTGAATCACTTTAAGTTTTATTGAATTTCTATATGATTTTTAATTTTGAAGGGTTGATTCCTCTTATATATCAAAGAAGTTATAAGCAGGCACAGTACACTTGTAAAAGAGGAGCAGTGAATCTGTGGGCAAGTAGAAGTCAAACAAGTATGTTCTAATTCACTTTAATTACAGGCCACTTAGCATCACCTCCCTCAACTGGAGGGTGTGTATAACTACCTCTGTGGAACTATAATTAGAAAAAAATAAAAGTGAAATTGCCTCTTAGAAGGTAACAAATGGAGTTGATCGGTGTAGAAGATGTTGATAAATATGTGTATCAGTAACTTCTAGCACGTGAACTGTAGTCACATATAAAAGTATATGGCAACCTAACCCTAAATTGTATCCCACATCTTTATAATTTTTAAAAAAGTATGTGGCAAAATGCTTGGCAATAGTAGGTGCTCAATAAATGGTGAAAATACTATCCACATCACTTTTTAAAAATTTTTTTTTGGGGGAGGGAGATGGGATTAACAGTAGCAAATATCTGTCTGGGAATGGGGAAACACCCCATATCAACAGGGTGCCTGAATGAAACGCAATTGTATACCTAACCCTTAACTGTACCCCACAACTTCATAATAAAAAATAAATAAATAATTTAAATTAAAAAAAAATTTTTTTTTACGTTTTTTTCACTGTTATGTTTATTTAGTCATGATCTATAGTATGGATCATGAGAGCAAAAGCTATTAAACAATATAAGCTGTTAAACAATATAAATTTAAAAAATAAATTTTTTAAAAACTTATTGTATTCAGAAGATGATAATCAACTTGTTTGTTGTTGTTGTTGTTGTTTTTTGAGTTGGAGTCTCATTCTGTCGCCCAGACCGGAGTGCAGTGGCACGCTCCCTGCCACTGCAGCCTCAACCTGCTGGGCTCCGGCGATCCTTCCACCTCAGCCTTCCAAGTA